CCAAGGCTCTGCTCTGTGGTTTCTGCAGGTACAGACTGTGGGCAGACGCCTGCGCAGAGATGTTTGGAGGTCTCGATATCTGCGCTGTCAAAGCTGTGCACAGCAAAGATGGAAAGGACTACATCATCGAGGTGAGAGTGTGGGCAGCCTCAACAGCAGTGTTCTTTGGGGATTGTCTGCAAACACCCTGGGAATTGTCTGCAAACACCCTGGGAATTGTCTGCAAACACCCTGCCTGGAGCTCTGGCTCACCCCAACAGTGCTCGGCCACCTCAGCTTTCCAGCAGATGGTTCAGGTCATTAAAAACCTCAGTTTCTCTCTGGATAAATATGTCTTTCTTTAATCATTTCAAAGGGAACTTCCAAACAAAAATCCTAGCTGCATCTAATTTAGAAGAGGAAAACAAATGGTGAGAGTGTAGCAAAAAGTGCACAAGCAACAGCAGCACTTGATTAAACAGAAAAAGAGAGGTGCATTTTCTCAGGTCTTTTGCCCAAACAGCATTCACTGCAATAAGAGGCCATCAAGACAAAACACACAGTCCCTATGGGCAATGTGGACTGTGACATTCTGTGTCAGAGCTGGGCTGACAGTGGCTCTGAGAGCTACAGCTCCGTGTGCTCCTTGCCAGTAATTAATCGCCTCCAGCCAACTTCCTGGGGTACTTTTCTTGGTCTGAAACAGATCCCTTGATTTGCTTTTCTCTTTGACAGTATTTGACAGTTTATTTGACACTTGTATTTTCTTGGGAAGAAGGAACAGTGTGCTGTGACATTTTACAAGAAAGCATTCCTAAATGGGCTGGACAAACAAGGAATTTGCACAATGCAATTGCAGGCAGTAATTAATTTTCACAGTGCAAAGCAGYCCTTCAGGAAAGATTCACAGAGGTAATGATGGGCAGTTTTATGAACTGAGATTTATCACAGTGCWTTGCTGCAAACAAAATCAGATTAAGACAGATGACTTATCAACAACACAAGAGTAATCCTGCACACATGGTATTTGCTCTTACTTGAACTTCACCTTCCTTTCTTTTCCCATGGCAAACWGCAGAATCTGTTACATTTCTGCCTTCAAAGCATTAGCACACTTATGTATTATTTTTATGGCTCATATTGAAACAGATTGTGAATTTAACAGTAAATGATGGTAATTATTTTTCCCTCTGCTTTAAAGARCTTTGTCACTTTGAGGGAATATTCAGCATAAATAGTCAGCACCCAATCAGAACGCCTCAAAATAATGCAAATTCTG